GGCATGTTTCGGCTCTTTAAGGGCAATAATAGAGCAGGCAGAAACATAAATCACTATTTTATAATGACTTGCCTCGCCCTCTTGGCGTACAGGATGGCCAAACAAGGATTCAGTTTGATGGCTTCGGTGAACAAGTCGACGGCCTTCTGAAGCTCACCTGAACATGAATACCAGTAAAGTTTCAGTCATTACGCAATGAAATTAGGCATTAGGCGTAGGTAAACGGAACATTACCAACGTAAAAAAAAAAAAAGTAAGCAAATTCAGTTTTTCTTCTTCTAAATTATCTACTACTGAAATGCAAACATAAACTCTGCCTGGAAGTAAACAAGCAAACAACTTTTCTAGTTAAATCTGAGCGCTTGACCTCGCGCCCAGTCAAGCAGAAAGCTACCTCCTTATGCAGCTTTTTATCAAGTTAAGACAAACCATTAAAAACACCAATCACAATATGTAGAGAAGTCCAGTAATGGACACAACATTCAAAATTCAAAGGAAAGCTGGTTGGTTTATAATTAAGATGCTGAATTACTTCCCCCTCTGCATTCAACTACAGCCACAATCAGGAAGACAGCGCTTTCACGTTCTAGCTAGCTTTCAGTATCCAACACAGCATTGGAAAGCACTTGTTAAACAACTAACTCTTCTCTGAAATACATCAGAAACATCACATTCTGGTAACAAAAGCTTTTTCCTAACTACACAGAGTAGTTAGGAAGCGGGCTTTCTCCTACTTGAAAGCATTCAAAAAGGTCCAAGTTTTTTTTGTTGGTTTTTTTTTTTTTAAAAGGAGCACAAAACAACGTTATGTTCTTTAATATGTACTGGAAACCAATTTATCACCTTCACTCAGAGCGTTTATAGCCTCCACCTTCTTTTCATTAGCTTGATCCATCATCTCTTCAGTTACCTAAAACAAACAAAGAAAAAAAGAAAAACAAACTCCAAAGCTATAGAGTCGAGGCCGCAAGTACCAAGCTGAGATAACGCCAAAGAAGGGAGCTCCAGTTTTCTGACTCCAGAATGTTTTTTTAATTTGTATTGAAAACATAGTTTAAAAAAAAGTAATTTTTGGTTTCACCTTGAAGATGTAAGTCACCATTATTTTGAGCTGGAAAACACTCAAAAGGTAGTTGAATAACGCCAGATTTCTATACATCTAGTTTTCTCAGATGCTTTGATAAATTTTTGTGGCATTTTCTGACCTGATTTTTCCTCACAGATCTTTTTGATGGACTCTAACCTTTAAAAAGGAAAAATTTCAGTAAGCTAGTAATTTTTCTATTCAGGAGAAAAAGAGGTAAAGCAATGACTGGCTAGCTAGCTAATGTTGTCTTATTCCCTCTCCCCTTCCCCCGGCCCTAATTACTACTCTTAACTCAGTTCAAAACCTCTCCCCTTCTTCCCTACTGTCACAGCCACTTGAAGTATTTTGGTTACCTCCACATTTTCATCTCCCATTTCTTGAGGGTCGTCACTGTCTGGTTCAATCACACCCTCGTTGTCAATTTCTGGGGAAAAATGAAAAGCAAAATTAAGCTCCATCTGCAAACAGAGAGAGGGCTTCCAGAGTCACCTTCAAATTGGTGTACTGCGCTAACAGCGCTTATCTTCCACACCTAAGTCACTCTCTTCACTTTCTGGCTCAGGTGATTTAACCGGTTCCTCTGGCTGCTCCTCTGCTTTGCCCTGAAAGAGAAACATATTTGTAAGCATACGTTATTTCTGACTGATAATCTATTCCCACCTTAATAGAAAACAAGGCATCAGAAAAAAATAACATCAACTTTCAAAGCAGACCACTGCTCTATGGCTAAACGGTTTTATTTAAGACACAAATCTTTTTTCTCCCTTCCGAGCTTAAGTCTGTCAAACATGCAAATAATTTAGAGCCCAATCTTGACCTGTGAACTTCAATTTTTGGTAAAGCCTATCCTTCAAATTGTGCAATTTAATGACCAAAACAAAATGATCCCGATAACACCCAATTCGGAACCACTCTCCCTGACACATTCTCTGCATCAAAAATCCTCTCAATCTAATACTATTAAGCTAGGGCCCATTAGCAGTGAGCAGGTCTCAATGATTACAATACTGTCAACATTTGTCAAGGCCAGATATTTTGTGCCACTTGCTCAGAATGCTTCTTCAAATGTTTTCCTACCAATTTCTAACCACGTTACCACTCTCCTCTGAATCCCCTCACTTAACACAGCCTCCTTTATCACAGACAAACTGTCTTTAAAGTCAGTGTCACAATTTATACTCCCTATACGTACAATTCCTCAAACAGTTCTAACTAGCCAGTAATTCCAGCATCTGCTGTCTTGTTAAACCAAAATGAGAAGTCTTCTCCTTTTTTCAGAAGGATTTCAAGCTTGGAAAAATCCATTTTAAGTATCTACAAACCCATTTTATTATCTTCCTTTAAAAAACAAGAAGCATTGTGGGGCATCCCCACATTTCAAAATCTATGTTATCCACAATACTGGCTTAAAAAGCTAACAGTTAAGTGGTCACTTCACTACCTATCATGCTGGCTAGTGTTTCTTTTCATGCAGAGATTATAATTTGAGCAACTATTGACTACAGAAAAGATGCAGATACAGACAGCAAAGACATAAAAATCAAGGCTTCTTGTTTGGCGTTTGCACTGCGCAGAAAATCAGACATTCGGGATTAGAGAAATGGAATACGATAACACTTGAAACACACTAGAAAGCAATCTAAAACAAGTCCCCATCCACAACAAGCAATGGGCAGGCTTCTATCTTTGAACTCGCACAATCTAGTACTCACTCACCCTAGCACATTCACCCACCCTATGTGGACAAAAATTGACAGCAATTTGTTTCTCCCCTCCCTCTCCAACATCTTTGCATGAAGTCCAAACATTAGTTTTCAATTATAAATTTTCCATGTCTCACCTTACTTGTCTCCTCTGTGGAGGCATTGGCTGGAGCAGGTGGTATTGTGCCTCCCATGCTTTTCAGCAAAACAGAAAAAAAAGCAAGAAAGAAAGAAAGAAAAGATTACCAAAATACGGTCATGTTCTTTAGCAATTCAAATCCTGCTGACAGTCTCAGGTTTCTCTTGTGGAAGAAAACATAATGATCCAATTTATTGTAAAAGCAGTAATAAAATTATGCATCCACCCTGCTTCTTTCAATGTGACATAACGCACACTGGGTCTGTTGGCTCCGTCACCTGGAACTGCGTTGTACCTTGGGTTCACACACATCTCCCACCCATCTTTTCTCCAAATAAAAGCTGCCTCCTTGGCTGAAATAGATTTTTCCCTTAAAACAAAACTTCCGTTTCAAATCAAACCTAGATGTCATTCTTTGATTTCAATACTAGAAAAAGCAATTATTTCTCATCAGTTTGGAACATGTGTCCAGTAAATTAAGAGAAGCCTAAATGCCTAAAAATGGCCTATTATCTGGTATTTTTCTTCTAAAAAACAGTTATACAATTAAAAATAATTACTGCCTATGAAAACAATTTCATTCCTTTCACATGTCTTTGCTTAGGTACAAGTTAAGGAGCATTCTTTATGCAGACAGCATTCCTTCAATATAGGATAAACTTTTATGTTATATTGACTTTGGTCAGCAGCCAGAACTAAGCACAGGCTGAACGCTCTCTCTCCGTTTCATATAACATCTAATCATATCTAATGGCCAGCTACCACAAACATGACCACGCCCATCCATCCTATACCCTGCATTCTCATCTACTGACGGTTTTGGCCATATAAACTCCAAATGTACAGAGAGAGAGAGAGAGAGAGAGAGAGAGAGAGAGAGAGGGAGAGAGAGAGAGAGAAATCATTATTTCTATCAACTCAGGCTGAACCAGCTCATTTGGGGACCACACAACCGGTTAGACATGATGCAGGGGGGGAAGAGAAAAAAGTGCACAAACAGGCAGGAGGCCTTGGGAGGGAGCATGGCTTTCAGCAATGTCAGCATTATCGCAACATGAAACTAAACCCCAAGGATGAAATCACACAGCAACTTAAACCAGGCTGCTGCAGTCCCACTCTCCTTGCTCTTTTCTCTCTCCTCCACCAGCAGCCCCTCACAGCCAGGCCCTAAACTGGCTGAAAACCTGGGCTGGGCAGGGGGAAGAGGAGGAGGTGGCAGGACTGATAGGACCTGACACCACAAAGGGGAAAAAGGATGCTGCAACCAAGGGCAGGAGAGCAGCACTACACTACCGCTGGACAGGTTGTCAGGAAAACACGTTCCAAGTTACCCAAAAAGGCATCTTCTGAAGTTATCACAAAAATCGACACGTGCCGCTGCTATGTTGACATTGCTTCATCTATGCTATACTTTAAGGATAGAACAACTGCAGTTTGACCAAACCATTACAGAACTAGGCAAAAAATGCAGTACAGGTAGTAACTATTCTTCCTAAATGTTTACCCTTGCAGGCTGGCAATAGGCATATAATACAATAATATAAATTCCAGAGTTTTCATCCTAGTTCTCCTAACAAGCAGTTCAAGAGAAGTCAGACATAACAACTAAAAGAATGACATCATAGGGACCAGAGTAGGTGAACCAAAGAAATCTGTTCTTCTGCACATCAAAAGGGAACTGTAATTATTAAAGGATTTTAGAAGTGTTAATAGCTAAGATTCAGGTTAGCACAATGCTCAGAAATTAAGATCTACACCTATCCATCTAACGCTTACTGAAAACACTGTAATATTTCTTTTATACAACAAGACTTCTTCAAAGCCTGGCTCACCTACTAGGTCTATCGGAAAAAGACTGAGAACCCTCTAATTCAAAAAAGGTCAAAAATTGATTCCCAGCTTCCATCATATATTTATGAAATGCAGGATTAGAATTCCAGAGCAATTCCAAATTACTGGTCTCAATATCAGCTATTTGTAAGTCTGAAACCTAGAAACATCCCAAGGCTGGAACAACTTGATTAGTCTCTTCTGCCCCCTTCACTTGCCCAACCCCCCCTACCTAGGGCTTTATTAAAGAATCGTTAAAATAGTCTATGAGATGCGCTTAACCGGTATTTATGCACTTCCCAATACGGTATTTCAGAACTGCCGAACTGCACAAACTGCTTTCACAAACACAGTTTTATTCCCAGTCCCTTAAAAATACTGTTACTATCTAGTTATCTTCCACTGAATCTAGATTTGCAATTCCAGAACAATCCCAAAGCAAGTTACTCTAAAATCATTCCTTAAAACACTACGATTAAACGTGCAGCGAGGACGTGCAAAATTTGCAATGCATTTAAACTCAACAGTCTACACATATAGCACAGGAGTTACTCTTGTATGAAAACTCAGTTACTGAGCAGTATAAATGCACAAAAAAACCCATTTTAAAATAAGCCTTTGCGCGGAGACCTGGTGAGAGAATTGGGCAATTCAGGTAACTACACACGAGAATTTGTAAGGACTCCGTTGTAATAATGACTCCACACTTCCACTGATCACAGTGATGTGAAGTGCTGCTTTTCTGACTTCTTAGAACTGCAATTGTCATTTCTCCATCCAGTTTGCTCACTTATAGCCAATTATCTTTAAAGATGAACCGGATTACAGAAAATTCAAAGGGACAAAATCTTCCTGAAAAACAACAAAGAGGCAAAAAAAACCCCACCCCTGTTCATGAATTGAGCTTTGTGCCTTACTTTTAAGGACTGCTATTGTTTTCTTTGTTCAACTGCAGGTTTTTGAAATACAGCCCCTATGTAACGACTCCCTTTACAATGATTCATGTTAAAATATTTATATGTTTATGCAGTTATGAAAGAAATAAGCTGGAACAAACAGGACATCAGAACCCTTTCCAAATATAATCATACATTAGTATATTCTTTACAAGCATCTATAAATAAATGAAATAGATCAGCTATACAGAATAAAGATCAGTAGATAACAAGTACATGAAAACGTGAAAGACGACTTAAGGTTTCTGACGTAACATTAACATTCAGTCAGAAATCAAGCACCACCCTCTGGCTTCCCCAGCAATTAGCATCATTCTCAGTTTTAAGAAAACGTCAGATCAATTATATTAGAATGTTAGCTGAAAATTTCATGATAGATTTCAGTATCATTTAGTCAGTACTGTGTAATCATTTGCAACATTACCCTCATGACCAAACCTAAGCCTTTTAAATTAATACAGGCAAGCCTGACAAAGATATGACAAAACCAATCAGATATATTTCTCCTGAACCTGAGCCATTGTAAGTTTCAAGTAGCTTCTGAATAATGAGAAAACCCTAAAAAAAAGCATGTCATTGTCCGACTGCAAACATTGCTATTATGGAAGGGAACTCGCCAAACTTCCAGTTTGACATGAGAGGTAGTTTGGCTACTACTCCAAATATTCAAGTATATAATTTACCCAAATATTTAGCTTAAATAAGTGAGGAAACAATAAACATTAAGAGAGCTCTATAAGGTCCTGTTTTGAGTAAGTTAACATCTGAGACAAAGACAGCCAATAAAGTTTTTCCATAGAAAAAACACTCCACACCTCCAAACCTAAATTTTATACTTACAATACACGCAAGAAAACACACACCCTGGTACTAACCAAACATAAACACTAAAAATGAATCTGCAAGTTAGAGCTTTCCATATCAGCATGGAGAAAATTAGAAATCAGAGGCTCCACTTCCCTAACACTTTTTTTTGGCCAAAAGTTAGTGTCTCCCTTCTCTGCCCAATACTCTGTTCATACTTTCAGAATCATACAACAGAAGAATAGAATTAAGTTCGGGTGAGTGACTGAGGTCTTTTATACATTAGCAAAGGGGCTGAGGACCCGCACTAGCATACAAGATAAGTGCATCACTTTCCTAGGCACACGTGCAGCTACAATCGTTACTGTAAAACCAAGCAAAGTTAAGTAGGTGTGTTTTCACTATTGCATGAGTATACAATGTTTTAAAAGGTTTAAACATCAGTTTAAAAAACAGATCCAACAAATAGCTTAAAGCAATCTTCGTTACACAGCATACTGTGAAGTGCCAGTGCTTACTTTAAAAAAGAAAAGAAAAGAAAAAAGCAGCCCACTAGTTTTCCAACTAATTACAACAGGGCAGAAAATGCCATTAGAATACTTTCAGATGCATTTCACAGCAAATTCAAATTTGACGCTGAATAAAAACTTTTTCTCCCCTGAGAGGTGTATCTGCGAGGACTTCCCTCATTGTTTCACGTTTTTCAAAGCAAGGAGGGATGCGGCCCCGAAAGTTGAACAGATAGATGTTTCCCCAGTTGAACATACAGGTTCTGTGGGGTCTCTACGAGCAGTAACAGACTTCAACTCTTCCAACTTCGAGTTTTGGGGGAGATCCAGGGACGTTTTCATACTGAGAAGCATCTGCCACGACAGGCTTCAAATGCACCAAAAAAAAAAAAAAAAAGAAAAAGGAACTACAGCCTTAAGCAGCACACGTACGAAACGCCTCAAAGGGAGCAAGACTCCAACTGCACGACACGCGAAAACTTCCAACAATTAAGCAAATTTGTGGCACGAACCACTTCTCGCTTTGAGCTGCGAGATATTCAACGCTTTGGGGTGCCGGGATGTAAATCAGCGCCACTCACCTCCCCACAAACTCGCATCCTTTTAAGTCAGGCTAGCCAACTCTGCTGAATAATGCGAGAATTAGCTCGCTAAATATTACTCCGGGGCCTTCCAGCCGGGGAAGGTAAGCCACTGAAATGGCCGGGGGCGG